TGATTGTATATCCTCTTCTGAGAATTGTCTGTTCAGGTCCTTGGCCCATTTATTGATTGGGTTATTTGTTTTCTTGGTGCTTTGCTTCTTGAGTTCTTTATGTACTCTAGAGATTAGTGCTCTATCTGATGTGTGAGGGATAAAGATTTGAAAACCCTGCTTATGAACAACATTTATAGGATTTACTAATTAGTTACATTTAAATGATATGTATCAATTTTTATTCTAAGTGTAGTTCATCCCTCACAGAAATACTTGGCTACATCTACCTTAATCAGAGGTGTGTTGTTCTCACTGTCACAGAGGTGAATGTTGCATTTCTTCTTTATTAGAAAAGCCACCACTTCTGCCTGGTCATAGGCACATGCGTAATGTAGAGGGGTCCTACAAAAGTTAGAAGATTGGTTAGGAGGTCATAGAGCTCCCACTTAAAACAGACAATTATTCATGACATTGTGAACATTAGATAGCAATTAATTCCTCTCCCTTCAAAACAATTTCTTAGGAACACCAATATTTACTAGCTGTTATAACTAAATTAATGAAAGATCAGAACATTCTAGCTGCCTATTCACTGACTTCTTTCCTTTCCCCAGTCCTCACTGCTGAGGATCAAACTGAAGGGCACTCAACACTGAGCCATTTCCAGAGCCCTTTTATTTTTCACTTTCTGCTAGGGTCCCACTAAGTTGTCCAGGCTCATCTTGAACTTGCAATCTTTATGTCTCACCTTCTCTCCCAAATCACTGGGATTATAAGAATGCACCATTGCTTCTGACACCAGTGAATCTTGTTTTTTGTTGTGTTTTGTTAATAATTTTTCAGATGTATTTTAAGGACTATGTATTTCAATGTTTAAAATGTTTCTTCATACATAAAAAAAAGAACCATCACATAATCCATGGTGCCTTACCTTAAGTGAAAGATGATAAAACAATCAACCAATGACAGTTCTAGTCATATGAATGAAATTTAAATAAATTTTAGTTACAATAAGTATTATAGATAAAGAGGGTTGAATAAGAAAACAGCAAAAGACAAAATTTAATGTAAAGTTTTTCTTGTTTTTTTTTTCAAGAATCGTAAAGCCAAAGGAAATGTATGATTTCAAATGAAATAGTATGTTTCACTTTGTTCAGGATTTAGACTTGTAGCACTTAAGTAAATTGGATATACCCAATACTTTATATCAGTATTAATGTGATCTTAACTTTTCAAATGGGCAGTTTACAAATTCTTATCTCCAGAAGTGCTTTTGTTTGAAAAGCAGGAGGAAATGCTTCACTTCAAATTGAGTTCTATCCCTTCAGTTTTAAATCTCCAGTCAGGGAAACACGAAAGAGGACCTGAGAAATAATAAAATATGTTGACTATATAATAGGTATTCAGGATATAAATGGTGAGTTAATAAAATGAAAGAACACATAAAGTATACTTGGGGAGTTCAGTGCGTGGTGTTTTTTTCTTTATTTGTCTGTTCATTCTCTACTGGGAATTGAATCCAGGGGCACTTAAACACTAATCCACAGCCACAGCGATTTTTATTCTTTATTTTGAGCTAGTTTATTTTGAGACATCTCCCTTAGTTGCTAAGGGCCTCTCTAAACTTGTGATCCTTCTGCCTCAGCCTCA